CAGTTGGACAAGACACCAGTTGGACAAGACACCAGTTGGACAAGACATGGCCGGCCATGGCCGGCCTGGGCAGGGTGGCTGGCCGACTCTACGTGGGCTTTGAGACCGAGGGACACCGGGAGGCGCACGGCACAAGTGATGGTTGACCGGTTGACCTGTAGTGTAAAATCCCGTGGTTTGTGCGGTAAAAACCATTACAATCCATTTGACTTATATAAATCAATGGTCGGAATCCTAGGGGTAACTGAGCACAACTGAGCTAGGAAACTCTTTTCCTGATCAATTTCAGGGCTACATGAGTGCGTGTTGGAAGAGTAAGCCCCCCTGGCCCGAGGGGTTTAGGCGTCGAATTGGTTCTTCTTTGTACAGTGCGGGGGCCAGGCATCCAGCATCATTTAATGCTTTTGTCCAGGTTCCTCCCAAAAAGGACAGAGTATGTGACTATATACTTCTCATTCAATATATATATATATATTATATATATATATACCTTTGTCACATGTTGGTCTCTTCGATTTCTTCATGTTCTCTGCTGTTCATCAACCTCCCTTACTGTACCACCAGGGGCCACGACTCTGAAAAAAACACCGGCTCCCAAGCGAAATAGATGTGAGTGACGGCTGAAGGTACCACCACCATCTCAGAAAACATCAGCAGCTCCCTCCCTCCCAGAGATCCACCCAGAGATCCACCCGTCCGACCCGTCGGACCCAGAACCCGGGCGCTGAAGCTCGCAGCAGCCGGCCCGACATCCTGTGCGTGGAGGCGGGCCGGGCTTGTTGAGGCTTCGGCAGCTCGTGGGCGCGTGCATCGCTCGATGTGCTGGCCATGCGAAGCTAACAGAGCTGGCCACCTGAAGAGGCATGGCCACCTGCAGGCCACCTAGCATCCGCCTTCGGTGAGTTGCCTTTAATTAGGCTTGAAAAAACACTGCCATTCTCGCAAAAGTGAGTGAGTGAGAGGTTGAGGTTGAGTGAGAGGTGGAGGTTGAGAGGTTGAGAGGTTGAGGTTGAGAGGTGTGATGCCCAGTGGCTCACAAAAGACTGTGGCTTCAGCGCTGCCAAGTCCTCCTTCTTGATCGGAGCATAGGGTTTGCATAGGACCCAAAACGCGAATCCACTGGGACATCAAAGCTTTCAGCAGTGTTGGAGACTGCTTGTTTTCCAGACGGCAGCCTGGTTTCCAGTGTGTGCAGCTATCGATGTAGAGGACAAAAGGCTGATCCCATAGGAAGAACAAGTCCTGATACACAAGTTCATTGAACTGCTGCGTGCCACCTACAAGTCAGGCCGATTCGAAACTTGCAGATGTTGCTTAGGCTAATTCGCATGGGCATTGAGCAAATCGCTGAACCAGGACACGACTGGCAGGTGTGATGCCTGGCTTACATACGCCTGCTCCTCAGTTCGGACTTCATGGTCACTCCTACCATCCCGGTGACTTTTGAAAAGAGTACAAATGACCCCGTTGAGCAGGCAGTAGAAGTAGTCACTGACCTGATAGCTACAGCTGTGCAGGACTATAGCCTCCACTAGCCATAACATAGAAAAAAGGCAGAGGTGCGCACATTCATGCTACTAGAGGTCACCGACACCCATTCAAGCTCATTCTCTCCCATCCCTTTCATACCCTTTTCATACCCTGCCAATGGTCTTCGTGGAAGCCCACTGCTCCGGTCGAGCTTTGAAATCCGATCGCTCCGGCTGCATACCCTTCAGACGTCGACCAGTCGGTAAAACCGACCGGTCGGTGAGACCTGACCGGCTGGACCGGTCGACCGCCAGGTGGAGTTGGCCGGTGATGCAGGGAAGTTTACCTCGCTTTGCACAGCTCATCGCACCTCGATGCGGGCGGATTGGACGCGGTGACGGGGCGGGTGGGCGGTTGTGGGCCTCGGAGAGCGTGCCAGGGCGAGCGTGGGACGCGGTGACGGGGCGGAAGGCAGCAGGGCAGAGTCCCAAGACGACCAGGGGTCGTAGACGTGTTGTGGGAGGGAGGGAGGGAGGGAGGGAGAGAGGGCTAGCAGCTAGCAAGAAGAAAGAGCGAGTCCAATGGAATACCTTTGACACTCAGCTGCCCAGATCATGCTTTCATTCAACAGCCCAACGCGGCTCTTTTTCAGGGGCTCGGCCAAATCTGCAGGATTGATCTGCAGTCTACTCGAGGGTGTGCCGAACAGACTGCCTGCCACTTTTCTCTAATAATTATATTGTATTGAATGACCCTAGGACCCTAGCACTCCACCTCAAAACCATCTGCTTACCTCTAAAGCAGATCCACTCAACCAGTCGTGACGCCCACATCCACCCACCTCCCGAATTTGGAGAGCTCGGTTTGCTCTCCGCTACTCCGCTCCGCTTGCCCAGGGATGGTCCAAGTAACTGCGGGTGAACAGAGAAGCTTTGGACCGTGGACCTGTACCGATAAGCGAGAAGTGCCTGGCCCAGACGACGACCAGGGGCAGCGTGGTCGGGTGTGTGTGAAGGTTTTTGCTTGGACACCACACACCCCCTCACATGGGCCGGATGAGGTAGGTGCCTCAAATGGACTGCGAATCATTGTGAGCACTGAAAAAACCACATACGGCGACCTGTGTAGTCTATTTGGACTGTTCAACTAAGACCATTTCTCAAAAAATAGGTGCTTCGACTTCCAGGTTATATGACTGTTCAACTCCTTGATCTACCAGGTTTACTTGCTAAGACTTTCCCGACCATGTCAGGTCAGCGCAATCGATCCTCCGACCCTCCGATCTGGGCGCGCGCTGGGGGCGCGGATCAGGTGGAGAAGCGCTGGCTGGAGCTCCGAGCCAAGGCGCTGCCGAGCTGTGGGTGAAGGGCGTGGGTGGCCGAGGGCTGTTTGGCTGCTCCAGACACGAGCTACGAGCTAAGTAAGAGAGGTGATTTTCAGTGACCTCAATCCAGGTCCCGGCTTAGCTGGGGTACCCAACTGGGATAGTTGAACAAGGGTTTTGAAACACCTCTGTTGGTGACCCATGGGACGCTTGACCAATCAGGGCCAGGTTGGTTGGTTGAATGGTTGGTTGGTTGGTTGGTTGCAGGGGTCAACTGATCGGCATAGATTTTGAGTCGTCCCATCGGTCTTGTTTGGGTAACCGAGGGTCCTGGGTCAGTGATGGTCAGTGGCGGTCATGGGGTTTGGGTAACGGAGGCTCTGAATTTCGGAGATGAAGATGGATGGGCATGCATGGGCAGGCGAATATCATTTGGACATGGGGTGCGCAGTCCTGAACCTTTGCGGCTGAGTGAAGCAACATGAAACATTTTTGAAGGATCTATAGTTGTGGCAGTTGTGGCAGGAGGAACGACCGGTTTTGTATGTGCTTTAAAATAAGAAATTGGAGGGAAGTGCTCTTGGTGCTGGTGCTTCTATACTGCTATACTGAGCGTTCTGCCATGTTCCCCAAACCAAGTGTTCGGACAGTGCCATCGGGAAATCCGTCAAGAGGGCTTAGGGAAGACGTGCATACCGGAGAACCATCTATGGTCCGGAGTCCGGAGCCAAGGTCTTACAAACTTTGACAACGTCACGGGCTTCCCCCCCCAAAATGATCCGAGGTCCTCTGCCCGGAGTTCCGAAAGGGGTGGGGTGCCTCATTGAAGCCATGGGGTGCCCACCTCGCTGAACGAGCCGGAGAAGAGCATCTCCAATAATTGGGAACTGGCCCATCTCCTCTTCCAAAACGGCCCATGTCCCATCAACGGCCTTCACCTCACCCCTCACCCCTCACTATAGTCACTAGAGATCTAACGCCTGTCATTCTCCCAACCGCCTCGGCTTCAGCGACTTCGCCGTACGGCTTCGACGACGGCGACGGAACCGCCGGTTCCGGCACGCGCGGGGTCCGTGGTGCCAGGCCTTGGGAGTGCTGGGCTTGTCCTTCGAGCTACGTCACTTCATGCGCTTGATGGCTGCCTTGCTCGGTGCCTCCTTGCTCCCCGAACCGGTAAGCCACCGACGCCTGTGGAATGGGCTGAAGCCGGTGGTGGTGGGCGCTTCACCCATGGCCAGGCGGGAGCGAGAGCGAGGTGGAAGGCGTGACGAAGCTAGAGGCCTCTTAGAGTCAACAAACAAACAGCTGTTTATAGCAGGACCCTCCAACTGGTCTCCTTTGGTTGCATTTTGCAGACTTTTTGACGTCGCGACCGGTGGTGACCTGTGACGTCGGGTGCTGGTAGAGATGTTGACCGCGCCCCCGGAGGGTTCGGTTGAGCGAACCCACCGTCACTGGTCTTTCGACAGGAAGGGCAGATGGTCTTTCGACAGGTCACTCGAACTTCCCGGTACTTCGAGCGTTGCACGCCACAGCGTTCCTCCTTCTTTGTTCTGACTACCAACAGAGGTTGAAGGACCCTATAGACTATCCCATAGGTACCCCAGTAGGGTCCTATAATAAGGTCACTTAACCTCTCTTGGTAGGTCCAGGTCACTTCAGCGGGGCAAACATATCGTCGAACTGGACTTCTATCCACGGTTAGTATGTATGCTAAGTGGTTACTAACCACGGTGGACCTTTTAAGTAGGGTCTCCCCCTCTCATCTTCGCGATCTTCACCCAAGCCTGCCAGGCTCCGCGTGGGCTTTGGCGGCCTCAGCACCCACTTCCCAGAGCCGCCCACGTCGACCTCGGGGTCCCGTGCCGCGGAACGTGGCGGACGGAGTGAGCAGGACCGGGGTGGCGTGCCCTTGGGTGTGGCCGAGCTGCTGGCACATCCGCCCTTCGCGGACTACGTGCTGTGAGGGGGAAAAGCGCCGGGTCACCGCCGCGGCCGGAGCCAGAGGTGATGTGTTGAGGAGCCATCGATGTGTTGCAGATGAACTTCGACTGGAAGCCAATCTTGATCTCTTGTATTGAACACATTTTTTCAGAGGTGTTTTTGGACATGTGTGTTCTTTTTGTCCATCATGTTCCATGTTGAATTTATCAGATTTACTCCCAAGCTCGCTCGTTCTGCCATTATTTCGATTTGCCAGGGGAGCTGCTCACCACAGTGCTGCTGGGTGGCCCCAAAAAGAGCTACGATCGATTTGGGACGGAAGAACAGGCCGAACGAGCCTGAGGAACCCAGACCTGATCTGAACCCAGGACTGGAAGATGTGGCTGTAGATCATGGCCAGGATGAGTTCACCAGGTCACCAGCTTGACCGACCTCCTGTAGCTCGTCGACTCGTCCCATGCCCATTTGGTCAACCGGAAGGTACCCTGCCACGGGGTACCATGCCCATATGGTCGTTGATGGGCGGTTTCTGTAAGGAATGCCGATGAGTTGCCTTTTCAACCAAGAAACCTCACCTGATCGTACCAGTTCCAAAAAGAGGACTGAGGAGTAGAAGGAACTTTGCAGAAAGAAATGCCACGACGGCCAACATTCAGCTTGAGTTTGGGATGTGGGCTGGCTGGGGTATGAATCTTGGGATCTTCAGCTTGCTCTCCGACAGTTGAAGATGAATCTCGCTTGCTCGCAGATGTCCGAACAACCTCGCTATATCACTTTTACTTGGGATCATTGCACCCACTGACTAATACTTTTCAAACGAGTTGAAACCACCAACCAGTTAGATATTTTCTATCAACAGCCAGGCTAGGGATATTCACAAGTACACGTATTTACTGAAGTAGTGCGTTGACCCCCAAGCATGCCGCTTCTTGCCGGCCCTTTTGCATGCCAGTTGTATGAGTTTTGGTCACGATTCGGGCTGAGGTTCTACCCTGTCGAGCTTGTCATGACCTCGGGTGACAATGGGAAAGAGTCAAAACTGGGGAGCTTCATGTCAGGGTCCCCCTTAGGGCGCTCCAGGTGCTTTTGTAAACGGATGATACGGATGCTGATGCACAGACAAACTCCGAAAAGCCTCAAGCTTCTCCAAGTCCTCCATGGCCCTTTTGGAATACCGTAAGTCCTTTTGACTCCAGTAGGATCTACTGTAAGGCATCACCAGAATGTGGCCTTTTCCCTTCCTCCGGTCTGCGGTCGCCGGTCGAGCGCAAGCGCCCCCTTTGAGGTGAAGAGCCGACTGCAGGCCTCCGCCAACAGCTTCGCCAGCGCCATGGCGACGATGGTGGGCGACGATGGTGGGCGACGATACCAGCACCGAAACCAACAGGTCTCCGAAATGGAGGGTTTTTAGGCCCTAACAGGTTTCAATTGGTGACCTGTTTGGAGGTGCTGGTAGATGGTTGATGAATCAACCTCTTGCTCTCCAGGAATGGTTTTACCATGTTTCACCTCTCCATATGCGGTCTACAGTGGCATGGCATGGCCCTGCGTGGCAGTGCTGGGACACAACACCGCCACCGAGGCTCCAGCTACCAATACAGCGGATTGGCGGATGGGCTTCTGACCATCCTGCAGAAGAACGGGCCTCAGGTGCCGATTTCAGTTCGGCACCGGCACCATCCGCGTGTTTATAGTAATATTTTGTCATATCCCTAAGAATCAAGGACCCTCAAAGGTGAAGGTTTTGAGGGTCCAAACCCCTGCTATGCAAGGTCAAAACCCTCGGTCCAATGATCCTTAGGGTACCAGAAAAGGTTGAGGAGTTGAGGGGGTACATGTTGATCCATCCGATGGGGCACAGTGGGACTTTCCATCTCTGCGATGGCGACGGTCCGACCCTGGGCGTTGGAGGAGCAAACCCCCTCCTGTTCCACTACTTGGCGACATGAGAGTCCAATGGGTCGACTTCGAGACCCCTCGAGTCCAACGTGTGTCCCATTTGACCCCGAAACCGACCTGGTGGATGGAGTCAATCCACCAGGCGGAGTAGTTCATGAGTCTTTGGACGGTTCTGTTTCTTTCTTTTCTTTTTCCAGGCCCGGAACGACGGAACGGCGGTTTCTGTTGAAGCTCTGCATTTGGCCTTGCTCGATCCCGTGCTCTGATCGACGAACTTTTCGTCACGGATCCAGTTCGTCACTGAGACACGATGACTCACCCGAAAACGACGGATGTGACCTGAAATTGTCAGCTCCGCGCTCCGCGCCAGGGGCTCTTCGTCGGAATTGGACCCGTGCTGGTCAGTCACTTAAATAAAGAGAGCATCTCTTCCGAAAGCCGCGGAAAGGGAGGGGGCCCTGCAAAAAAGGGATCCATCTCGAATACCTTCACTTTTCATCACTTTTCTCTTGTGCAGCCAGGAAAGCCAATTTGCTTCATCCCTTTTTCATCCCTTTTGCACGAACGCAGAACAGTGAATCATCAGGAACTTGCTCCAATCATCTGACCCTCAGACTCTGAAACTTCTCCCTTCTCCCTTGACTTCCACGACTCAGATGGGCCTTCCAGTCCCCGGGACCCGCGAGGTCCGTGCGGGCAGCTCAGACTTCGTGGCGGCCTACGCCGGCGAAGCGCTGCTCCAAAGGCCCGTAGCGCTGGAGTGGTGCAGAGGGGGGAACGAAGGTCCGAAGACGAACGGTCCGGTGTTCCTGGATGCATCGGCGCTGGGATTTTGAGGTCCCTGATGGCCTGGGGGCCTGGTGGAGTCGGTGGAGTCGGTGGAAAGCCAAGAGATCCATGAACCATCATGAGCCTGGGTGAGCTCTATTTTTAACTGGACATCATTGGTCCAGGCTTTTTGCGGTGAATAAGCTCTCACACACCCAAGATGAGCAGGATCATGTGCATCAGCAGCGTCCTTTTGTTGAGCCAAGATGGTTGAACCTTAAGGTTTTATGGACAGGTCAGCCTGGGAACCATCCCACCCAGAAGCAACCCAGAATTTCTTGGACGACCATATGGCTTTACTAGGAGCCCCATGGGGGCGGACCTAAAAAGACCTGATCACGACTGGATTCGCGGACCGACAGACCCCGGTTTCTTCTCCCGAGCATTTTCCAGGTTTCGGCAGGACTCATTGGTCCAGGGCCTGGTGAAGATGGACCCAGGGTCCTCCGCACGGACCCGCACGGACTCTTCGGGACCAAAAAGGGAACAAGACCGACACGGAACAAGACCGACACGAACGAACAGCGGGCAGCGGGCGGTAGCTTTGCCTCTCCCAGCTGAATTCGACTTGAACGACTGGGTCGGAGTGGCGGGATGGGGGGAGACCCGATGGGAAGTAGTCAGCCAGATGTGTTTTGACCTGCGGTCAGGTTTAGCTTGCCAAGCTTGGGCTTCCTCCAGGGCCTGTTCTGGCGAACGCTGGGTTGCACCTTGGCCCGAGTAGGGTCTTGTAGCTGGGGTTCTCATATGGTTTCTTGATGTTTCTTGTGAGGTGAACGCATTACTGTAGGTAGATGTCACGTCCTTTTTCCAAAAGGTGGTTTACATGAAGTTACCAGTTCAAGTGCTCAGACTGGTATGCCAAACGACTCTGGTGCCCGGATGTCCCAAATCTCTTGCAAGAACAGAGTTGGACTGTTTTGATATGTTTTGATGTTTAAAGATTTAAAGATGTCTAAACCAAAGTTATAAACCAGGAATCACAGAGCTCGGGGGTGGTGTTTAGTCTGGTGGACGAGCCTCGTCCCATCCAGTGAGTGGATCATGGGCATTCCGACATCGTCCGTTCGTTGGGCACCCCGGTCTCGTGACTGCTGGAAGATGTTGGAAGAGCAGTTGACCAACCATCTCGAAGAGGATCCTGCTCCATGATGCTCCATGGGAACCCATCACATCCAGGGAAAAAGATCAGGACACAACCAGACAGGCTGGGCGGCGTGACAGGCACGAATCTCCGGTTTGAAGGACAAAGCCACTCAACTGGAGGTGCACAAAAGAAGGAATTCCTCATGTGGACGATATACAACAGAAGAAAACAACGCACCTGGAAAAACGACTTCATTATTTTCTTCATCCGTCGCACCCGGTGTGCCTCAGGTGGCGTCAGCGTGCTGAGCACCATGCCGTTTGAGAGCGTGGCCGCACGTGGGGGAGCCCTGAGGGCATCTGAGGCTCCTTGTTTTGGCAGGTCAAGAAACTGAAGAGGTCACAGAAGTTCACAGAAGTATAATTCTCGTTAAAAACAACTGTTTTCTCGCCAAGGGGGGCCCTATCAGTTTGGGGGCCACTCTGCTTTCTTCCTTGCACAGGCTCCATCCTCGCCGCCACCGCCGGCTCGGTCCAGCTGCACACTCCACACGCCACACGCTGGTTGGGTGGGTGGGGGCGGCACGACCCGAGACCGAAACCCCATGCGTTGGCGCCCATGGCATGTGCTGCTCGTGAAGCTGGCGACCAGCTCGACCGAGGCGGGAGGGCGTGAGGGGGACCGTGAGGGTGACCGTGAGGGTGCTGGTGGTGAGACCGGTGGTGATGCGGTGGAATGCTGTCACTGTTGGTTTGTTCTGCAGTTTCTTTTTGCCAAGTACCTTGCAAGCACGCATTCTTGGGTTAGGGGAAACCTTGGAGTCCAAGACCAATTCACAAACATGGTCTGACCAGGAATTTCCCGAATTTCGATGGAATTTTCCTGAAACCGACCTGGCGCGAAATACAGCTCGAACTGAACTGACCCCCTCGAGGGCTCTCTGTCGATCAGGTCCTGGACACCTGCGACGAGGGCGCGCCGGTGGTGTTCCTGCAGGATCCGCGACAAAGCCTTGCCTTGTTGCGGTCTGGCTTTTGCAAGCCTGTTGTTTTCTCCTTCTTCTTCTTCTTCGTCGTCGTCGTCTTCTTCTTCTTCTTCTTCTTCGTCCGACCAACAACAACCCAAGCGAACTTGTGGGAACTTGGCGGGGATTGCACGCACAACAAACAGGTGAAAAAAGGTGAACATGGATTCTTCCAGAGAAACCAAGGGAGTCTTAAATTTGATCACTGCACCAGCACCCGTCCATCCACAGCCACTACATGAGTCATACAGTACCATCACCAGCACCCTCCTCTCATCATATACTGCAAACACAGTAGTTCTCAGAAAGGACAGGTTCAAGTCCAGCGCCCGGCCGCACTGTGCTCTTCCAACAAGCACATCGAGTTAGCTCGATGCCAGATGCCCGCGCCTAGCGTCCAAGCAACAAATCCATCCGATACACCAAGACGGAGTTCGTTCGGAACCGAGTCTTGACCCGGAACATGTGGGTGCATGTGTATGCCAACGGCTGGGCAACGGGGGTGGGGTGGCATAAGGATGTTCATTTTCACATGCGCACCAACGTGTCACTACGTCAGGGGTGGGGTGGGGTACTGATGTTCATGATCACATGCGCAGGAACTTGTCATGTTCACATGCGCGATTACCTCTTATATAATATATCACTTTTGGCATTTTTTTGCATGTTGCTACTCGTGCCGTGGCGATGCTTTGGCCGAAAGGCTTCAAGAACAGTCCGTGGAGCCAAGCTCCAAGAAAGAGGATGGGACCTTTATCCTGGAGAGTTTTCTTTGACCACAGAAGCTAGATTCTTCAGATTGTTTCTTGATGATCCGGAGGTGCTCGTGAACCTTTCAATCCACATGATTCGCCACACTCTTTAGAGATTGTTCAGTGATGATCTCAACGAGGAATCTCTGCGGTGTCTGATGACCGTTGTTCCCGGTATGTCCATTTCCCTCGTCCTGTGGAATACTCCTCTGCGGTCCACCAATGGTCAGCGACTCGGCACCGGAACGGTCGGAGTACATCGGAGCGTCATCGTTCGGACCGGTGCGCGCGAGCGTGCGCGCGAGCGCGAGCACAGCAGAAAGCTGTTCCGGTTGCTTGGAATGTGACGCTACCCTCCGTAGTTGGCGTATCATATCAAGGTGCTACTATGGTATCATGTTTTGTGTATTGCAGCAGCAGCAGTGGATGAGCGTTGGCATTGGCATCCTTCGGGATGTGATGCTGTTTGGTGTTGCAGACTTCATCATCTTCCATGCATTGTCAATTGCTCCCTGCCATGAAAGTCTGTCAAACGTTTGACACTCGCCATTGCACGGCCGACACTTCAAAGTAAAGCACAAAGCTTGGTGGCGATTTTCGGGTACTAGTAGCATTTCGTCCCATTTGAAACCAAACAAGTGCTGATACCGTCTGCCCCTTTCTGTTCAACCTCTGCGAAAAAATCTGTGCCTGCAATGCATAAGTAACTTTCAGGGTTGTGGCTGTCCTAGATTTTGGGCTTGGGCAAACAGTGGAGGTGTGTGGAAAGCACGATGTCTTCCAACTTGAGCTTTAGAACAGCGGAAGCATACCGAGAAGCCTGAACGGTGAAACAACACAACAGTTGCTTGTTTTGCTCCTCGCTGTGGCGAAACAAAAACGACAACAAAAGATGAACCTCGGAAAGTTGCATGTTTCAGAGTGTTTCAGATATTCATGTTGAATCGTGAGCAAATACTAGAGGAACATGATCACAAATTTGCCCCCAGGGGCAGAGCGCCATTTCTGGTGCAAAAACATAAGGAGATCATGCTGCAAACATCCTTTGACAAACGTGCCAAAACGCTCGCGTGGAAAACCATCCAGCAGGATCCGGCAGGACGTGTATACTTGATAGACACCCCCGATCGTCCAATCTGTAAACTGGTCGATATTTTCCAAACTTCCAGGGGGTCGAACTTGGAGGTGTCAAGCATTTTTGATATATACCTAAATTACTCAAGTTTCATATTCTTGTGCACCTCCCTACACTTTGAAGTCCGGTCGGTCCGCGCGGAGGATCGACTTAGCTTGGAGCCGTATGAGCTCCCGAGCACGTCAAGGCGCTCAGATTCCGAGGGGGGGAGAGACTCAGGTGTCAGGTGATCAGCACACAAGCACCACCAGAGGTTATGATGGCGGGTGCAAATCACGAAAGGTAGCTTGAGCTACCTGAGTTCTCCTTGCTTTAGCAAACATGTATTACAATACAATATTACAATCAGGATTTGGTGATTTGCATTGAATTTGGCCGTGTAAGACATGATTCTGTTCGACGGGGGGGGGCCCCGCCCGTGGATCAAATCCCCCCTGCGCCGTCGCTGTTTGGGTCACATCCATCCACCTTTGACGCCGTCATGGACTTCTACCAGGGTTACTTGTGATTGCCTGCTACCTTTCGTTCACCCCCTCCTCTCTCAAATTCTAAGCCAGTGGGTGAACCAGGGAACATGAAAAGATTATAAACCACCAAACCATCAGCAAGTCAATTGTTCGTGTTGCTTGGTGGTTCACTTGTTGTAAAGCACCAGCCCCACGTCAAACGCCAGCGTTGCTTGGGGTAGGTATATAGGTCAGGCTCACTTTTTGGAGCCTTCCTAGTCCCACTCTCCACAGACCTCAGGGGTTCGGTCTCTTTGGAGAGAGCGGCCCGGGTCCAGTTGAGCCAACACCGGGCCAACACCGGGCCGTCGCCGTGGTGAAGACGAACCGGAGCACCCGGGCAACAGATCAGCATCCGATGACCAGCCTGGTTGCGGGGGTCTCCACTGGATGATAGCTAATGACTACTAATGACACCACTTCGAAACCTCCATGCGAGCTCACCCAGACAGGATGCTCCAAGAAATCCATGTTTCCTGCACCAGTTGCTGCCGCCTCCAAATCCTTTGGTCGTGCCGCATCGTAGGGCTTCGGCTCGGCTCCCTCTCCTCAAGGAGCCGCTTCGCGGGTGCCGCCTACCCGGCGTACCCGGTGTATGCTCCGCAGCACCCGCCACGCGGCCACGTCGCGCTCACGGCGGCCGGAGGCCGGGAGGGCGCCCAGGAGTTCGTCCGTGGTTTCTGGGCATTCCAAGCGATTGACTCACCGATTTGGATGGTTCTGACCGTTCAGAACTGTTTTTACATGGTTTTGCTAAAGATCGGTTATTCCACTCCAAAACCAGGTCAACCAATTTTTGAATGGTCTTCTTGAAGGGGGTGATTCTTGCAGTGGCGTCAAACTTCGTGCCCCCAACACGTCGAACTGCTGGCGCCAACACGTCGACCTGCTGGCATCCACTTCGACATCAGCAGGTTTTCCGTGGACGTCTTGGAAGGAACTTCAAGTTGGCGCCCATGTGCCATCCCTGTTTTGCTTCGATTGGAAGAGGCATCCCTTGGCCGGGGCGGTTGGCCCCGGCCTTTCCCTCCTTGGGGGATTTCTGCGGTGATTGGTTCCTTGCCGATGCGGTGCGGCGATGCTGGTCAGCGATGGGAGGCTATGAGGGACTATGAGGCTATAAATGTTCAGACGTCCCCCAACTATGCAGCCTAGAACCTGTACATTGTACGCTGAAAGATGTCAAGGGTTGGGAACACTATGGAACACTGTTGAGACATATGAAGTTTGGGGTGTTCAAGTGTGATTATTTCAAGAGGTACACTTTTGCCAGCCTAAACTGCCACATCCACTCGTACGCATCCACTGTGGCTAGTAGACAAACAGCTGCCTGACGCGATCAGGTGACAAGCTGCTTGAGCTCCAGCTTTTGCAAGCAGAAGCTGCTCCTCGGACTTCTTGGGAAGATGGGGTGCGATCATACTTAGCGCCGGTTTTTCACAATGGGTTTCCAAAATGGTTGATTTCAGTCCAACGAGCACTGGTTCACTTTCGTTCGCAACCAGCGTCGCTATCCAGAAGTCATTCCAAAATGGATTTGACATGGCAGGACCAAATGGGACTGCGCTGCTCGCAAGATTTGGTAGCCTCATTGGCCCCCACTTGGCACAAGCCTTTCTTTCCTTCTGACTCTTTTCAGGATTTCAAGCACACGTAGACTCCTTCAGCACAGCATCCAGCAAGTAGAGAAACATCACTCACCTCCCACAGAAGCCAGCTTCTCTTACCTTGTTTGAGGCACCAGTGGTGGATATTGGATATTCCCAAAAACAACCACCCACGCCACGCCTCAATCCTCCCAATGCCCAGTTTTGGGGAGGATTTGGCTCCCTGCTTGCTGTGCACACCACAATCCCCATGGAGTTTCTCACGGAAAAACGCAATATAACGAGAATGCTTGATGTGAACCTTGGATGACAGT